GGCGTGAGTTTAAGCCACCGGGTCCGGGACTCGAACCACGGTCGACTACATGGGAGTCCAGTGACGTAGCCATTACGCTAACTGCTGGTCCCACATGGAAACACTTTTGAATGGACCTAGCAGACTCCAGTGACAGTCAGAGCAGGTGAGTGGGAGAGGATGGCCATATAGCAACCCTGTCCAGTCCACCAGCTGCAGGCCCTTGGCTTTGGAGATAGACTCACTTCAAATGGATGCTCACTGGCTGGCCCTGTGGCCTGGTTGTTAAGGGAGCTGAATCCCACAAAGCTGACTAAGCAGTTCAAATCCTGGTCCCAGCTGCTTGAAGAACTCACTGGGTGGACCAGGAGTTGCCATAATGGCTATGTCGCTGGACTCCCATGTAGTTGACTGTGGTTCAAGTCCCGGACCCGGTGGCTTAAACTCACACCGGGCACGTGTGCGTGCATGCCCAAGATCCCGAGAGGAGAATGGAGGAGAAGGGATTGTGGCGTGGCCATCCCCCCTGGGGGGTGATTTCTCGCTTTCTGTCTCTCTGTCTCTGTCTGTCTGTCTGGTGAGCACATGCGCCCTGTAGCAAAAACCTCTCCCCCCAAAAAAAAGAATACGCTGGGTGCATGTACACGCATGCCCCAAATTCCAGCATGCAGATTTGCATGGAGAAATGGAGCAGGGATGGCAGTGTGGCCATGACCCACTGGGGGTTCTTTCTTCCTTTCTCTCTCTTTCTCTCTCTCTCTCTGCTCTGTCTCTGACAAGCACACACACTCTCTGGCAATAAAAAAAGAGAGATGCCAGCAGGTGGTATGGTTAAGGCACTGGACTCCCACATGGCTTACTGGTTCGAGTCCCAGATGTGGCAGCTTGCTTTTCCATTTTCCCTTTTTTCTGTCTGGTCAAATTTTAAAGTAATAATAAACAAATACAATTAAATAAAGAATTATAAAAGAAAGAGAGAGGATGCTTGTTGCCATGGTGACAACCACCAACCCAGGTTCGAGTCCCGGACCAGTGGCTTGACAATCACTCCTGGCCCCTGTGTGCAGGTTCAAGACATGGAAGGAGACTAGAAAAGGGATTGCAGTGTGATTTCTCACTTTGCTGCCCCCTGTCTCTGTCTCTCTACCCCTGCCCCAAGAGTGCATGCATCCTCAGGCAAAAACTTCTTTTTCTCTTTAGTAATTATTTTTTTAATTAATTAATTAATTAATTAATTAATTTATTTATTATTATTATTATTCAGTTTGACCAGAAAGAGACAGATGGAGAGTGTGAGTGAGAAAGTGAGCCTCCGGGTCCCGGACTCGAACCATGCTTGGCCATATTGGAGTCCAGCACCTTAATCACCACACCACCTGCTGGCACTGGCAAAAACCTCTTTACAAAAGCAAAAAGAAAGAAGGGTCAGCAGGTGGCATGGTAGTTAAAGGTGCTGGACTCCCACATGACCAACTGCGGTTTGAGTCCCGGACCTAACACCTTGCTTTCTCACATTCCCTCTCTCTTTCTCTCTCTCTCACTCTGTCCCTCTCTGGTCAAATTCAAATAAATACATTTAAATAAAATCATTCTTTAAAAAATATAAATAAAATTGGGACAGCAGGTGGCGTGGTGGTTAAGGTACTGGATACTCTCACATAGTCAATCATGGTTCGAGTCCTGGACCTGGTGGCTTCCTTTCTCACTTTCCTCTCTCTCTTTGTCTGTGTCTGTCTCTGGTCAAATTAAAATAAATGAATGAATAAATAAAATTAAAAATAAATGAATTAATTAAATAAAAGAAAAAAGAAAAGAGGTCACCACGGCACACACAGCCTATCAGAGGTACCCAGGAACCTGGGCTGGACCCTCTTTCTGTGCATGTCCTAGGTGCCTGTCCTAGAAATCTCTGCAGAGCAGAATGTGGCTCACCCAAGCTCCCAGGCACCGGGTCCTGGGTTGAGTGACTCCCCTGACCACCGTGGCCATGTTTCCTGGGACTTAAGATGGCAGAGTCGTGGCCTCCACTGAATCATGTTGAGGAAGAGGGGACAGCGCTGGGAAATCCGGCCTCAATCTTCCAGCTGTTTAATAGGCAGCTTGAGCCGTGGATGTTTGTGCAAATGGCCTGCCCCTGGACGGGGCCCCTGGGAACCCCGGGGCGGTGAATTCTACCTGTGGGCTTGAGTTCAAGGGCCTTCCCATCTCTTCTGTCCTTGCAAGGTGGCTTCACGGAGGGTCCTCCAATATGGCCGTCCTCGAGGTGTCCCTGCTGTCAGGCTTCCGGGCGGACATCGAGAGCCTGGAACAGGTGGGCAGGTGCTGGGCGGGGCATCCGGGGGGAGGTCGACTGGCCGCAGCCCAATCCTTTGTGACAGGAGGTGGGGTTTTTGCTTTTATTTTTGCCTTCTTGCTCAAAGATGGGCCTTCTGCCTACCAAGGGGCAATTGGAGTTGGGCAGGGCTTGTTTCAGCCCTGCCCCCACCCGTGAGCGCAGGGGAGGGTGTCCCCTTGAGATCGGAGTGAGTAGGAGTGGGCCACCAAGCCAGGAGGGGAAGGGCAGGTGCAAACCCTGAGTGAAGGGGGCGGGGCTGAGCAGCGTGAGGGGGGGGG